TATATAATTTTACTTCGGTAAAAACATTAGCGAATCAAGTTTGTAAGTAATATATTGATTAAATTGTAGACATGTGTAATTTTAAATCAAGCGGTGTTACATTGTCGATGGCGTAACTTTTTGTTAATGACATTTATTCGTAATTCCTTTGTTTTTATTATCTGATCAGGGGGAATATTGAKCTCTGTATAGAAAATATGCCAACGGGGGTGTATCAATTATCTGAAACAAAAGCTGACATGTACGATTTTTCTCATGATAGGTTTTTTTGACACGCATTCTCTCCTATTTTTACCAAAAGGAAATACTAGTAAATCATCAATGACCAATCTCTTTATATTTAAATCGATTCTTGGATCGAATTTTTCACAACAACTGCTCTCAAACTCTGTGGTATCACAACATAGTTCGAACTGTTACTCTCGTTATAAAAGCTTTTTGTATGTTGTACTGAAAAGTTTTTATAATATCTAGCGTGACAAGATTTAAATGAGATCAAGGAAAATTTCGTGTGCGAACATAAACAAAAACTTGTAGTGTAAAACCCTTAAATATTTATCTTAAAGTTTTTGGCATCTGGTCGGATGCATCTAGAAAAGGTGTAGCAGCAAAAAACATATGTTAAATGAGTGTTTGTTAAATCATAATTAATGATTTTGAAAAATCAATCAAAGTTTAATAACCGGTTTCGAGATGCTAAAAGTTTGAACATTTGGTTCCAAGCTTGTTCTAGACCCAACAAATCTCAACTCATCGTTTTAGGTCATGAATTTTTAGAAGTCTATAATGAAAAACATAACCGTCTTATGGTATGTGATGAACACTGATAAAAATTAATAAAGGCCACCTTAATGTTTTTCCGGTCATGTCTTGAATATTTTTTTCTGCAATTATCGAAACGGTGTATTTACCAGCCTTAAAGAAATTCGGTTAAGGTCTCACGTATGTGATTAAATTTTGGTTATGCTCTAGTTCCATTTTAAAAGAAGCGCAGTTTTGGTGGCCTGAAATCGGATAAATATATCATCTGGCAGGCATTAAAATTCACACTATGCTTTGTATCAACGAATGTGATAATTGTGGCAAGAGTTTATTCTAAATTCACTGTTACTGAATTAGTTAATCATTCGTCAAGTCTTCAAACGTTAAAGCTTAATTAGAAAAGCCAGAAATAGCTGACTGATAATTGCTGCATTCCTAAAGTATTGTTTTACAACAGAATTGTAGAAATAAATTGCACCAAATCTCCACAAATCTTTTACTGAATTAAGATAATTGTCTCCGCGTGCAACCAGATCAAACCTCCCACAAACTTATTACAGATGTATTTGCACGCCGAGATGTTATAGATTGCGGTCTCTTTGTTCTTTCAAGAGTTCACAGAAATATGTTCTTTGTGGAAGTTAATTGATCAGATTTTTTGATAAGTTTTTGACCTAAAAAAATTAAATAAGTCATGATCACGTATTGTCGGTATTGAAGATTAAAATATGGTAATTCAAAACAGTAACGTACGAGGAATCGGATGTTTCAGTAAAAGTGGTTTGAAACATTAATTTATACAAGGTATCCGATTAACATAATCATGAATTATGGTAATGCGTGAATGACATTTCTCCTAGTGATCATAAATTTGTTATATGGATAGTTAGGTCAGGGACGGGAGTGGTTTTGATAGATTGTATTTCGTTACTAGACACATAAAAGAATATCTCAATCTCTTTCGGACACTTAATTTGAATTTGACAGCGTGTAATTCTGACAATTAAGCCGCCTTGAATTAATCTAGAAAAATACCAAGAATATGACACATCTTGTCTCTCGAATAAAAATGTTGCAACAAGCCTACGGGGAAGCAGGTGCAACAGTCTTCTTCAAATTTTGAGTACTGATTCTTTTAATTAAAGGTAAATATTGCATCACGCAAGCCCAAGTACTAAGCTTATTTGTGTTGAAAATGAAATTTAGAAATTTCTGTTTGTATTGTATTTAAATACGCAAATTTCAGGTGTATAAAAGTTTGACCATTTGGTAAATAGTGCACAGTAAACTTTTTTAATGAGATTTCTAAATTTTATTAAAAGTTCTTGAAAGCTACGATTTTTGCGTTAAATTGTATTGATTGTACTATAACCTAGATTGTTATTAAGGGGTTCATTTAACGAAAAATTAAAATACATTTGACATACTTATGATAATATCAATTTAATTAAATTAGTAATAATTCGTGTGAGTTTGCTCTACTTCCTGTTTAGTTACGGATTTTTCATTTTAGGCATTGCAATTCGATATAATAATCGATTTGACTTCCTCTTTTTTGATTCCTATTCATCGTTGGTGGTTATATGAAACTTTAATATTACACAGTTCTTGACACACTTACGTCCCACATTGAATAGATAATGTACCGTGAAATAAAATGTAACTTTTCGTCGTTGGTTCTGCAATATCTCCTATGTAGCTTTTTTAACATCGATTGTACTTTTTTACACCTTTTAAAAGACTATTTTGGCTGTACCTACGGGATGGTAATATCTAATTTGATCTGAAAAGGCTCAAATTGTAAAAAAATCAAATTATTAATAACACACGACTTTTGCTGTTTTTTACTTTTTGACAAATTATTATTGGACATAGCAGATATTGCAGAATCCACGACGATTTGTCAGAATTTTATGTGCATTCGGGTTTGGCTTTTTTGTTACCATCGAAATTTATTTTTGGTAATTTGTAAATTAGTGTCTATTTATCGTAGCAGTTATATATATGTTCACCCAATTCCGGATGAGAATGTAGATGTTAAGTCTATTATACCATGAGCGTTTTCTTTGCTTAATTACTTTATCGTTCGAATAGCGGGAGTTTTATTATCATCATGGGTTCTAATGACTAGATCTTTTAACCCAATAATTTAGCAACTGACGTTCACTGGCGTTATGAATTAGCCTAAATTATAAAGCGATTTACAGTAAAACTTTACCCATCCGTCATTTTCTGATGCGTAAATAATTCGAAATAAAAACGCATTCTATTTAATATTTCCTGTTTAACACACAAAAAATATAGACATGGATCGTGACAGTTTAGTCACCAATTAAAAACTTTCTTGATTTTGGCTAATTTTCTAATTAATGTTAATTTAATTTTTTTATTTCATTAGTCTAATAAATAAATTATACTATGATTACATTTTAATGGCGTATGAACTAACGATGTTTTTAACTGTTTCCTCCAATGTTCAAATTAAGGAAAATAAAATCTACTTGTACAGAGTTAATTAAATTTGGCAAATTTCATTTTGGGGTGTGTCTGTGAAGTATGGAAATTTAACTCAAACACACCTAAAACGCCCAATGTTGAAAGATGTAAACACGTATTTACCTAACAAAGCAAAGCGCAACATCACTTATTGATGGTTGTTCTAAGAACCGCTTACAAATAAGGATGGCTCAAAAATTATCTTTAAGACAAAGGATTTATTAGCGAGTGCATAAATGACTCCCACTTGATTAAAGTCACTTGTCTGGAACAATCGGTTTTAACCACAGGTTACAAGACTTTTTGTTTTTTGGACTATCAGAATATCTTTTTTTTTTAGCCGTGACGAGATTTGTTGCTTGATAAATGATAGTATCGTATGATTTTTTTTGTTTTTCGTCTGGGTGTTACAGTTTGGTTATCACTATTGATCATTTTATCTCAGCTTGGAAAGCAAATTTTTAATAAAACGTGGTAGTTATTATAATACTACTGATAATATTGATAAAATATATAAATAAATACCTAAAGAGATAAAATTGTGCCTGGTCTGTCTACATATTTTTATTGTGATAAAACATATCTAGTTTCTAGAATAGTTTGGTTGATGTTTTTAGAGGGTGGACTAGTATTTTTGTACAGAAATTAAAGGTCGTTAACCTCGTTCGATATGTTTTTTATTCCATAACAATAAAAGGGGCACGCATTTGGGGTGATCGATTGAAACGTCCATAATTATAGGGCACGGTTTCAAGCTTCGATTATTTAAAAGTGTGTATTTTTCAAAAAAAAAAAAACCTATAAAATATTAAATACGGGAATACCTATTGCATGCATAAAATCATTACACAACTGTGGTCCTGAAACTGGTCCCTGCGGCACACCTATGCTAATTTCTAGTTCTTTCAATATTTTTCCACGAACTATAATAGTTTTTTTAAATAGTTAAGCTTTTATTATGCATGATGAGTATTAAAATATCATGGTCAATGATCAGGGCTACATCCTCTGTTACAATAACGTCATCTGCTATTTTTACTAGTACTATAGAACAAATAATGTAAAAGGGCAATAAAGTTTTATTACTTTTTGATGTTAGTTTAATGCATAGTTGGTAAGAATGGCGTGGTTTGTGTTTGGAGTTCCATAAATTTTTTACGGTGTACCTACAGGGTGAATCAAGTCGCTTAGGATGGTTAGGAATGTTTGCATTTCATGTTAGTGTTTAGTTTGATTCACCCTGTATAGCGAGAAAATGCAAATATTTCTGTTATTTTCTCAAAACGTTAATTTTGTTGCCTGGTGGATATGAAAATGTTTTAGTTTATGTAAAAAATTAACGAACCATGTAATTGTTGGCCTATATTCTCGTAGGCAGTGGAAAAGTGCAAAATTAAATCTCTTAGGAGAGAACAGCTTCCTAATTGATCCAGAGAAACTCACGGTAGTTTAAGCCTAAGATGGTAGTTAACTTACATTAAAATAGACATTCATGCGAAAGAAGAACGTTTCTAATATATTATTTAAATCACAACCATCGGTTGCAATGTTATAATTTACAAATAAGTAGAAGAAAGTAATACGTTGGACGTTACTCACAACAGAGGATTATCTCGTCGGTGATCGTCACGATTTTAATAAATCCGGCAAAAGCTTGTATTTAATGGTTAATTTCTTGATCGGATTCATGTTAGTCATGACCTTGTTGTTATTGAAAGTTAATTTTATTCTTTTTGTTATAGGTGCTGCACCGGGATATTGAAAATCACGGTAAAATTGTGAGTTCAGTGGTAAAGTTGTGCAAGAGACCCGATGCGAGTTGCAACACTGTCAACGTCCGGCGAATTGCGAATGGCCTCGAAAGGCGTTGGCATCTTCTCTTCTTGCGATCTTTAGAATGGCAGTGCTACTTGGAAACTTTATCTAAAAAAGAAAATTGCAGGGTAAGTATCTCTATCCCCAGAAACACGAAGATAACAAGCCACCAACACTGGATTTCCGCTTTCAACTTCAAAATCACCTTGTAAATTGCAACCAATAATTTAGATAATGACATGAGGTGTTTTCAACCAACATTATTTACATAAATTTTCGCGTGATAAAACAAGATTTAAATAAATAAACAATATTTATAACGACTGCTGTTTATAATTTTTTCTAATCCGTTGGAAATTGCAATTAATAAGTAATATTTCTTTTTTAATAGTAGTAGGAGCACTCACGTTTACTAAATTTATGTCATCTAAAACCACATTTTCATAAATTTTTTAGTAGTAAATCAAATTATAAATAATGTAAACACGGAAGAAAAATCGTCAATTTTACGCATGCAGAATAAAGTACACATTCTTCATTACGTAATATAATTTATAAGTCATAAAACGATTTGTGGTTTGGCAGAAATAAAATTCATTGTTTTTAACAACAATGGAAATTAAGTAAAAGCGTGTTTGTACCATGATTGCAGAAAGTACAAATAATATAGGTGTAATCAAATTGCGCTCTCGGTACTTAATTACATCTGCAAATATCTAATTGGATTATTTGTGATTCGATCTGATCTCAACAATAATTACTAATTAGTCCCGAATAAATTGCGGGCAGGTCAGTTCGCTCCTACTATAATTTATTTTCACGGAAGCTCTGAAAATAAAGCTGTAATTTTGCTATCTTTTTTTATTTGAAAAAATCTCATCATGCATTTTGCGTGCAAAATAAGAATATGATGGAAAAAAATAAACAGGAGTGAGTGTAACATGTTCGAATTGTTAAATAATAATGATAATTTAATTTTATTACATCTTCCGTTCTATTGTTATTCTTCAACATGTGTCCGCATAGTTGAACAATGCAGTAGAAATTTGTGGGCATATGATGCCTCAGGGTTTGAGTTTTATATGGATGATTCTAGCTTTACTAAAGAATTGATTCTTTTAATTTATAATTACTATGAAATGTACTGAAAATAACATAAATAATAGTCAGCAGAGAGAAAGGCAATTTTTGCAAATTTTTACCAGTGTGCAATTAAGTTAGATTCTCATTTATTTTCAAGATAAATTTATAGATAACAAAGAGGAATGGCAAAAAGAATAACGACCAGCCGCATTTTTAACCATTTTCTATCTTATCTTCTATGTATGTTTTGAAATTAAAGTAAAGAAACAACGCTCGTTGCTTTTGCTTTTTAAAACCAATAATCGTAGGTTTAATTTTCCCAGAATTATCAGTATTTAAACAATTTATAATAAACACATTTTTGTTAAAATAAACTGATTAGATTTAGAATTACAGTAATTTTATGTTGCTTTTTCAATAATTAATTTGACCGTGAAAACTACAGTTTGCCTAGACGGTAGTTGCGTGTTTGTTTGCCTCTTCAGTTATGAGAATTTCGCATAAATCTGCACCGCACATTCATGTAAAATTTTATTTTGTTTCCTTCGCAATATTTGTTTTCTTCAGTGAGCCAAGCTACGTATCATTAAATTCATTAGACTTTTTAAAATAGCCCAATGTAAACAGATATTTTCTTTTAGTGGCACAGTTCATCATGCGCTGGAAAATACAATTTTTTGTTTACTTTCCGGTGTGTCTGCGACTTATTTATAATTCATAGATATATTAATAATGTGTTCATTTAAAATATTAAAACTCTTTTAATAGACACTAAAAATTATGATAAAGTGAGTCATCAAACAATTAAGCCAGATGACATCTGTTGAATATGTACTCGTAGCTTTATGCACTTTGAAAATTATAAATTTCATTTGAAGAAGGTTTTATTGATTATTTCTTTCTTACGTGATTAATTTAAGTTCATTTAGAAAATACGGGTCGTTGGTTCAGGAAGTTTTACTTCTATTAACTTATAAGTTACAACTTTATCGATTGTGTAGGGTGAATGACTTGTTCATCTTTCAATTTTTTGGTGGGCTTAAGTTTCTGCGAGTGACAACAAGACAGGTAATACAAAACTGATTTTAAGAAACACTACTTGCATTATTCATTTGGAAGACACGCGTATTCGGTGTTCTGAAATTTTTCATAAAACTGAAATGTAACGGAAAGCTTATTGTAGTAATGCGTGCTAGTTCAAAAGTTCATAGACATAATGTTCCTGTTCCAATTTTGGAACAAGTCTTACTAATTGCAAACATGCCTATATGGAAAGTTGCTTCATTAGTTTTTGCAAATAAATCTACTCACCATCCTTCTTGAAATTGATGCTAATCAATCAGAAAATTTTTCTACGGAATATTTTTCCTTTTTCAGAATACATCGACCTCATCTGATGAAACTGACAGTGACTGTTATGAGGAACCAGTAAATAAATATCCACGATTGAGCAGCAGGGATCATTCTGGCATTGAAAGCAGGACATCATCTGAGGTAATTAATTAACACCGCAAAGTTGGGTTTTTTCATTTTATTATGTTCATTAATGTTACAACATTCATAATGGTGTTTTTCATTCTTGGTATTGATGCTGCAATAATGCGTTTCTTTTGTTCAAATTTTGTCGTAAAAATTGTTGAATAAATTACAAGGATACACATCTATTAACGGGGAAAAAATTGAAAACTAATCATATGCGTTTATTTTCAAATAATAAAACCGGAATATCTTATTTGAATTTTAAGTTTATTGAATGAGGTAATTAATTAATAGAAAATAATAAATTGGTAAATCAACTTTTTTCATTAATAAAAATGTCAACTTTTATTGATATCAAGTGTTAATACATGCGAATTCATTATGCCACCAACAAAACAGACTTGTTTGATGTTATTAAAAGTAATCCGTTTTTATTTATTTTTTTAGCTTCTGGTTTTAATGTTAATAATGTTAATTTAATAATTTTCAACGGCCTTAATCAACATTCAGACAGTCATTAATACACATTTATGTTTAATTTAATTTTGAAACTTTAATTGTTGTCTAAAATCGATGTATGAAAATTAATTTATAATTTCTAATTGACGAGTTAAGTGATCAGTGTTGTTTAGTAAGTTATATTAATTTCTAAGATATTTTAATTGGTTAATTAAAACTATTAATTGACTAATCCGACAACCCTGGTAATTACTTCATTATTTACTGTTACATAGACTGAAATTTCATATTAATGATACTTGTCGTGGTTTGAAATTTAAGAGTGTGTAAGTATTTGAGTGAAATGGGAAATTAACATGAGTTTAAATTAAGAAAGGGTAGACACATTCCTCTCGAGAAACGAGACTTTTAAATTATGTTTACCTACTTTTGTGTTCTATTTCTGAAATAATTATTTATTGTAATTGCAGTTCTTATTACCTGAATTACGTCGTATCTATAGTTCGAATTTATTAGGTGTAGAAAATAACTTTCTCACTTGAAAGGAAAATCATCAGATGTTTGTTTTATCGAAATAGAATAAAGTTTTTTTAAAGTACTTATTTGTGTTTTTTTTTTTTAGAATGAATGTGGTTATAATCAGGAAATATCGAACTCTTCCTTAATATTTCAAGACGTAATGAACAAGAACGCCGCAACATTGTTTACCCAAACAAGCGAAGATACAGTAGATGGTAAATGTTTTAGGTTTGGTGAAGATACATCACATTTCACAAGGCAAGTCAATGATTGGTCATATTTTCGTCAATTATAATTTTTGATTTATAGATCGAACCGTAAAGCTCCGAATTTAGGAACGTACTATTTTAAGCACGAAGACACGGACTCAGATTTGGAAAAAATGGAACAGCAATCAGTAATGTCAAAGAACGAAGTACAGAGCACTCTGGAGGAAACATCTGAAGAAGAATGGACTTATACGAAGAATGTTGACGAAACAGAAGTTAAATCAAAGCCAGTGCCGGAAGAAACAATCAGAAAGCTTGTCCAAAAGGCTGAAGAATTAGTAAGTCCTGACAAGTGCCGAAAATTGGACCGAATCAATTCAATAAATAAAATGTCGAGAGTTAAAAAATGGTTGAGTATGGAGAAGCCGGATGACAGTTGTGATGCAAGTGGAGAAGACGATGAGCGAGAGTCTCAAATATCGGAAGATTTTGATGAAAGCACTATTACATGTCGGTATAATTCACAAAATACATCGTTTACCGAATTGAACCATTCTGAATCAACACCGAAAATTAATTTCCGACAAAGAAAATACAATGCCAATCGTCCTTGGAGCGTTTCTTGTATATCTCAACTCGACCAGTCATCGTCAACGAAAATGTAAGCTTTTATAAAGTAAAAATGACAAAAACCAATTGTTATTTTCTAGAATTCAAAACGATATAACGAACTTTTCTATATCCGAATCTGCGCTACATAAACTTGCCTTAACGTCGAAAAATTTGGAAAGAGTGAATGCAGTTAGTGCCAACAGTATTGGGGTTAACGGAAACAATTCAACATCATCAACAGTTGAAGAAACCTGTAATTTACAAGAGAAGACATCTCCAAATAGGCGTCGAAGGCTCAAGTTCAAGAAGAAGGTAAAAACCGGAATAACCGGTACTGAAAGAGTAAATTATTTTTTAATTCTAGTGCGGGAAAATCGATTTTCACACTCCATACAGTCCAATTGGCGGCCCCAAAAATCGAAATTTGCTCATAAAATCAGGTTCATTCTCTGGATCTAGCAATAAGTTTAATTTCATTGAACGACACACATCAAGTGATCCACCTGCCGTTGATTTGTATCAAGGGAAATACGAAACTTCGACCACTAGTGGCGCTGACAGTGAAGAAGATCTTAGCAAACGGTGAGAGTAAAAGTCTCGTTTGTTTTGGATACATTTTGTTTTATAGGATACCATCTTTCAAGTTGGGTTCGAAAACACACTACCTCAATTCTAATCTTAGGAATTCTAGTCCAGGAAAAAGCAACACAACCGAAGAACAGAGCAGTTCTTTGTCTGAACAAGCAGCTTGGGACAGCTACCAGGTTAGTTTGTCTTTTTGCGTTTTGTTTTTGTTATTGTTTATTTCTAGGAAAAGTATTCATCTGAAGCGTATAGTGAAACGCACGATTCGGACGCAGCTCGAAAATTGTTGGAGTTTGGTGAGGATTATAGGAATTTTTTGGACAGTCAATCTGACTGGTCGACAAATCCCGACTTTTCGCCGACTTTCCGACGACGAACGTTAGTGCCTTTCTCAGCTCCTGAGTCCGATAGCGACACTGAGTCGCTTCGACAGTTACTGAACAGTTCAAGAGACCAACTAAACTATACTAAAAATATTTATAAGCGACAGGTGTCGTTGGGTATTAACGAATACTTAGTAGCTAACGAAATAGTAAGTGTTTTATTGTTTGATTAAGTGTGGGCTTAATTTGAGATTTTAGGATGAAATGATTTCGACGTGCGATCGTCATTTTGATTTGTTAACAAACGTGGAAAAGAAATCCGATGAACTTGCCATCTCGAAAATTGACAAAGGGATTGTCGCAGGTAGGAGCTGGTTTTCTAGTCGATTTTCCTACTCTTGGGGATCCTTGTTTTCTTTCCTTTTAAGAAAATTATTAGGATTTCTCGTTTATATGTTTTTCAAATTAGGCAGGTTAATTCAGTAAACTGAACATTGTTATATTCTTGCATGAAGAATATAATTTCTTTTGTATTCTTGATTTAACAGCATGATTTTTGCATTAAATATTTTTTTTTGCTTACACTCTGCTTTTTTCTCCTGCTGCCCTATACTTCCTTCCTCAGCAAACACATTACTCAAAAACAGGAAAAGCCAGAAACATATATTTTGCTTCTGCACAGTTTTTAAAATTTACAGTAAACTGTGCATAATTTAAATTAAACGCCTACCATTTGGAACCCACAGAGACGACTTTTATATAAACATTCACTTTTATAGAAATGTCGACGCTGGTAGGATGTAAATGATTTGGTTACAGTGCCTAATTATTTCTAGTAAAACCAATTACTTAGATCAAAGTGCGTTGTGCTCTGTGATAATAAAATCCTTGTGACATTCAGGTAGGTCTTCGACTTTTGATATGTTCTCATCAGTTTAACTTCACATTATATTTAACTAAATCTGTACTCATGGTCATGTTTAATATGGTATATGATAAATATATATTCTTGTTTTTCCTGTATTAAACACATAAACACAATTAAATCTCCCTGTTTATGAATGTTGTTTACAGAATTATTGACCCAGTGGACCACTTTAAGAAACAACGTCGCGAAAATGCAAGAATTCCGAAATTTGCAAAAAGATATCTCGTTTATGAAAAATTTACTTCTGAAGATGGAAACTTTCGACTCTGAATGCATGTTCAACTTGGACTCGGTAGATGATCTTCCCAAAGAAGTGGATTATTGCGAGGTAAGTTCGTAATTTTGTTGATGATCGCTGTTTCCTTTATTTAGAAATGTAATGTGTGATGTTGGCGATTATCCTAACCGGCTACATAAAATTACCTTCATGTCAATATAGCCGTTTCATACAACGGATGTTGGACCGTTACATAATAAAAATAGAAAAATATGTAATGTTCTTCCGGTTTTACATTCCTAAATAACATTTTACGAATAAATTTTATTACAATTGTTGACTTGCGTGTCATAGTTTTAAATTAAAAAGGTTGCGAATTGCGAATCTAGATATTTTGAGAGAAGGAAAAAATACTATGAAATTACGATGTGAAAAGTGAAATGAAGTTTGAGTTACAGAGAGACTATTGCACCATTTTTTTTAAACTACATATATTTTTTACTTGAATACGGTTATCTCAAATCTATTTCTTTTTGCAACCACTAGGTAATTTATTAATAAATAAAGCAACGTTTTTTTAATTTTTTTTTAAAGTATAGTTTCTGTAAATTTTAGTAAAGATTGTATAGGCTTTACCAAACATGAAAAGGAGTTTTTTTTGATATTGCCATGGAATTTTTTATTGCGGTTTATTAATTAATACAAACTTTAAACGGCTTAATTTTTTACTGGAAGGTTTCTAAATAATATTAATTGTTTTTTTTATATTCATTTAAGTATAACATAATAAGATATTAACTGATTTTGCTGAGAAACTACATTGTTATATCAAGGTTGAATTTAAGTGTTATTATAACTTCAATAACAAAGAAAAATAAACACAACTACCAGATCTTCACTGCCTTTTTGCTACATTTTAATGTTACTTGTTTTATTGTTCAAGTGATAGAACAGATTCCTGTAATTTTAAGTGGAGATTCAGCCTGAAGATGGCGCTAAGTATATTGAAATTAGTAGATGTGTAGAACCGACGGACGAGTTTTTAAACTATAATAAGACTATCAGTGCATTTAACTTTTTTTAACGTTAATAAATTGATAAGAACAAATGTAATAAAAATTGATTAATAAGAATGAAAAATAGATGGTTTTGTGGAGTGGGGGTCAGAAATGTAAATTTTGGCAATGTGATTGGGGTCCATTTGAGAGAAATAAGTGTCAAAGTTGCAATGCTTTTTGATATGGGCCATAAATATTTAATGAGGTTGATATGACGAAGTTCGATTCGGGATCTAAGTGCGGCGTGAAGAAATTGGAACAGTGGATACCCGAGTGGTAACGAATTTCAATCGATATTGATCTTGATACGTGTAGAGAAGACGAAGTCGGCACAGAAGGGCAGCATTTGTACTCTGTACTGGTGGTGCAAGATTAAGACTTGGACGTGTCTGCAAGCGAGCCGTGATGGAGGCTCTATGTCGTTTCGGAATCCCGTCACGTACTCAGCCGTAGCAGTAGCGCGACACGGGTACGCTTTTATCGTCATTTCAAACTGAAAATATCACACACCACCAGTTTTTAGTTTGAAGTATCGTTTAATTCCAGACGCCATAAAAACGGCCTCTTCTGAATTATCACAAAGAGTACCGACCACCTTAAAGGACGACTCTTGATCTAATCTCATCTTTGCACCCCGATCAAAGCTTGTATTGATTTTTCTTGCCGTATAATTTTCTTGTGTTTTTTGCAAGTTGATGTACGTGAACCGTACCTACGCCTTTGTCAAATTTGTAGATTCGACAACCGCAATTTGGTGCAGGGCTTGGGTAAATACATGGCCCTATAACACGACCACATTGGTATGCCGCTTGTAAAACTCGCTGCAGACACGCATTCCAGTGTAATTCAATTTACAATCAACAGCCAATCAATTGATTCGAATTCAGTACAGTTCTGTACAAAACCGACGGTAATCGACGCCCTTTTTACTTTTGCTCCTATTTTTAAGTCTAATTACGAAAGCGACTTTTTTCACACCAATATTCAGACGAAAATTGCGTTCAGCACTGTTGTTAGCGTTAAGCTTTGTAATTTTTATAATGGAAATTAAAACTTTCAAAAGGGACTATTACAGGATTTTACAAAAAAGAATTTATACGACTTTAAGAATGAACACGTAGAGGGGATGCAGGAAGTGGGAATTTTAATTTACTACTGGAAAAAAATCACCAGAAAACATTGGAATTTTTTTTATGAAAAATGTTAATATTATATTGCCATTTAATACAGTGTTTTACGCAAAAACTTAATTTAATTTAATACATGAAAAAAAAAAAACCTTGAAACACTCAACCAACACATTGCAAGTATAGTTTTACTGTTTTGATTTTGTTCAAAACAAATAGTTAATAATATATCTAAACTTTATTCTTAATTTTTTTTTCTAAGTAGATACAATTTTTGCTTATTTATTTCTCCAGCCAGGTAATAAAAGTTCTACATTGTAGTACGTTGTTGTGACAGTAATATTTTTATTGAAAAAGTTGTAAAACGATTTTAAATTAGAAAAAACAGTCATATTCTGACTCAAATAGCTATTTGCGCGTTGTAGCTAACAAAATAATTGGAATGCACAACGTTGAAGTGGTTATAATACGAGATTTATTTCATTCGTATCTAAATTAATCAATCACGTATTTTTTGTGGAGGACGTTAGTAGGAGACGTAAAATGAACAATTTATGAGATACTTTATTTTGTGGTCGTACAAGGAAAGTGTACAAAGTCAAGTTTTTAAAAATTGTTATAAAATGTTTTTATAGCAATTGTACGTTTTTGTACTTTTTTTACTAGCATCAAACCGCCATTCATAATCTAGGCAGCGAAATTAAAATACTTTCTTGCTTATTTTTATTAAAAATTTGAATAATAGATCCTGTTGTAAAGTTTTGTTTTGAGTATGAGAATCCAAAAATACGAATAAATTTTTCTTATCAAATAGGAAATCTGTTCAACTCTCTGTTCTACTTCGCATCGATTTAACATATGGGGTGATTCACTATTGGTTTAGGATAACAGTGTCTGCAACTAAGCGAATCTATTTGAAAAAAAAAAATATTTTAAATATCACATTCTTAAAAGTATTATTTCATAAAATTAACTGACAATAAAATATTTACCATTTTACTAGAAAATCATTTAGTACGTATACGTCAACTGGCTATAAAAATAAATAGTTAAGCTGGTGGAGATTTGGTGTGACGATTGTTTCGCATTTTGTAATTTACTTAGTCAAATTTGTGCCGATTTGAATAATTGAAGATGATGTTTGATGGTCACCACCTTCGGCCATTTTGTGTCCCTCGAGAGCTTTCAGAAGCAGTTTCTTTCGTCCAAGTTGCAACTGGCAAGACGGTCATATATTCTATGTCGTCGTCTAGCGACATTGATGGCCACATGTATATAAATTACTTAAATTTATAGCTAGGCCCGCACACAAGATCGGAAAAAGAAATTTTCAAGACATTTCCATTGATTCCTCGGTTTTTGTTTTCAGAAAAAATTGGAAGACATTTATGAACATAAGAAGAAGCTTCTTGCGCTAAATGTGGCCGTTCATCGATTCGTGGTGGAAAATAAGCAGTACAATGGGTCGTCTTTGAAGACAGATATTTCGGAAATGTATCGCATGTGGGAGAATTTACTAACAAAGTAAGTAGAGAATTAGCGGTTGAATGAACGTCCGTGTATAGTAGGTGCGTATCCAGTAGTACCATGTATTTTGTAATTATTAGTATTCCGGTGTGGAAATTTTCCCCTCTGCCTATCCCCCGCTGGGCGACTACATGACGACAGCTGCACCCACATATAACGTGGTTTGTTTTACAAGTATCATCAAATCTATTTTACAATGTGACATTTTTACCGTACTTTGCTGTGATTTATTTCGGGACATACCTGTCACAAAGAGACGGCTCCGCCATTTCGTCGCGAAAATTTATCAATAATAACATGGAATAAAGTCCGACGTTCCGGGACGATATAATAAATGATTCATTAAAGTGGGGAATATGTTGTGACCTCCGCCTAAATAATCTCCCGAGAGCTGAATGATTATTGCCCTGAGCTGTATACACCCCTCACGGACGGAATTCATTTCTTGAACAAATGTTGACCTACATCACCAACCACTACACCATTGGAAACTAGCAACCCCTAAATACCGACAATTTCATCATTCGGAATGTGTCTCCGTCTGATTGATTTGTCAATATAGACCGATTTTTCATAACGTTTCCTTTCTGATAGTTTTTTCCCTCTTTTCTTTTTATAGCACTAACGAACGTTTAGCTCAACTCAGACCCTTACTTCAACAGTGGAAAACGCTCGACAATAGACTCGAACAGTTACAAGTGGATTTACGTAGCGATGAGAAAACATTGCATCTTCTCGATACCGCTTTGCAGGGTGGTGTTTTATCTGATCAGACGGCGAGCTATGTTCGAGATGTCGCGAAATTGCTTTCCGAGACCACTGCTGTACAGGTAAGGACACACTTTCTCAATATTCAATTTAGTTGATATTCGAAATGTAAAATATCATTTATACCCAAATACACGAAACGCCTGATGAAAAAATATATTGGTACTACGATAATATTGATTACGTATTACGTATTCGGATGTCACAACATTCGATTTTCATGCGGTAACAATCGCCCATAAATTGTTATTATGTTCAAAATACGTTGTACGACGAGGAATTGCTTGATTTCAATCATATAGAGGTTATTTAAAATGTCCAAGACATACCAATAATAAAAATTAAGAAAGCGTTTTTTTTATTAACTCAAGTATTGTCAATACTGAAAAAAAAATGCATCTAATTTGTTATACAATTATTAAAAAAAAAGTTTATCGGTGAAATTTGGAGAGACCATCATTTATTATAATTTTTTATATGACTTAATAGAAGATATTTAAAAAGCCCCACTGTTAATCACGTTCTTTATTTAATGAGAAGTTGTTTTTATCGATGGTTCAAATAGTTAATGATTTTTATTTTTTATGTTCGTACTAGTTACACAGTTTTTATGCAACGCAATATAAAGACTAGAGCAATGTTTATTATTTCCTGTCGTAATGGATGTAGGTCGCTGTGATACACTCTAGATCTAAAATCTCTCTCACGAAAAAATTCAAGCGGTGTGAAATCTGGCGATCTAGCCGGTGTGTTTCGGTGCAATACTGTTTTGATTAGTTTTCTTGAAAGAAATTTGGAGTTCGATTTTCGTTTGCGTAAACATGGCTTTTCCGCAAGGTCGCCAAAGGAAATCGTGGGTAATAATCTGACTATCCTGTAGCCATGTTGTAAAGCTTGACCTCCGGGAAGAAGTTAAGCTCTCGGATCCGATATTAAATTTGTATTTTTACGCTGATTCCGTGGAACATTCAAGATACGTGACTAGAAAATCAACAGGAGCACGATTAACGATCCGGAAACAGCAGCATTACGTTGGTCAGACTCATCCGCGGCGTCGCAAAGAATCTTGTCTGCCATCATGGAACTTGCGACCAAATTACTCATATACATATTGTATAACTTTATATTTCAGAACCGGCAACAAACCGCATACATGTAAATAAAACTTTATACTCCTTACTCCGGACTTTTTATTTTCGTCGAGAAACTACCCCTAAATTATGAAACGATCCTCTGGGTCACTACCGGACACCGCGGACGCTTTTACTCCCCATCAATTTTTCATTTATTTTTCTATATTTATATTCAACAAATCATCCACTGCGTGATATTTCACGCATCGTGCAACGCCTAAAAGTCACTTCCGGTAAAACCGGAAAAAGCGAACGTGATTTTTCTGTCTAGATTTTTACCTTCTTTGGCCAAAATCATTATTACTTGGGTTGTTTTCGGTTTTAAAGTGTTTGCGCTTATAATTCTTGTGTATTCGGCTTGATTTAGAGGAAAAAATCACTTTAATTGGTTAAAACCGATTGTAATGCAAGATCGAAAGTCATTGGTATTTTAGTGATGATTTTCGCGCGTAGTGACATGGTGGCAGCCGGCAGATGCTCCTGCCTTTGCCCATCACCCCTGAAATCTACTTAGTATGCGGCGCTGTGCTTTTCATTACCGGAGCCGAGCGTCGAGCGCTTCATTCCTCTGTGGAAGTGCCGAACCGGCAATGCGCTCAAGTGCCGAACTTACACTCGTTCTATAGCACTGTCCAAAATATGTTAAGTCCACTCTGTTGCACTTAAAAGAACCGCATCGAACACTGGAACATATCTCAGAACATTTTCGACTCTCATCTCACCAGAATTAAAACATTTAAGGCTCGCAGCAAAATATTGGCAAATATTTGTGTCATTCTTAAACAAAATTAATAGAAACATTGTTTTACAGAGGTGGTTTTACCCATTTGTAAAAATTTCCGCAAATTCTCTGATTTTTCTTTCACCTCAATTATAGTAATTCTGTTTCGAAAGATATATTTTTCGATGTGACAGATTTTATCCGCACCTACAAAACGGCACCTTCCAACTTAACTTAAATTGTCTGCAGATTAAAGATTAAAATATTATTTCGTAAAATGATATTTTCGTATATAAGATTTAATATTAATAAGTTTTTTGGGTATTTTTCGGTTAGTTTTCTTGTATGCAGGACCTAGATTCGATATTATAATTCCATAAACGTCAAACTCTTTTAAAGGTTCTCCTGATTTGTGTACACGTTTTGTGCATTTCACTTTTCGCGTGGCGTCGCGCCGTTTGTCGGTGTTTTTGCAGTGTTGCAAATTGGTTGAATTTTGGCAAAAACTAATTGGTGTAAGGAAGGCGTTTCGTGTTGGGAGTGTTGGACGGCTAATAAATAACTCCGAATGAATAATTTTTAGGGTTGTAAAATTCCGGAGCTGTTCACGGAAGGAGGTTCTTTGTCGGACAGCGGTATTTCGGACGAGGGTTCGGAACACGAGATTGGGGAGCGTGAACGTCGTCTGGCGGCGATCCGGCGCTTGGTGCGTCAACTGGAAGTCGTCTTGGCTCCGGATTGCAAAGCTCGCCTGAAAATGGCAGAGAGATTGAACGCCGCTGAGGAAGAACTCAAAGCTTTGCAGAAACGTTGTCGATCGCTGATTGCTTGCACCGCTGCCTATTCTCTGCCTGTTCGGTCGTGGTAAGCATAACCACTTTTTACTAAAACTTGTCGACATCAACCAGCAAATATTTCTGACACTCGCCTCGAACTATACTTAGAGTTTTTTACTTAATCACTGTCATTCTCACCTAATCAGTGTTGCCAGCAGTGAGCCGACTACTAAATAGCGTTACAGTATTTTTGTAAAAAGTCTAGTAGATTTTTTTTTTCGGTTGGTAACGCTGTTCTTAATTGGCCAATTAGGAAGACTTAATGATATTGGGCAAACGGTTGCACTCTTATCAATTTTAAAAGAGTTGGTCGGACATAATAAGTTTCGCTGCTTTTTGATGTGGATGAAGTGAACTGTAAGTAGGCTATTCATATGCAGTGCGAGTAGCAGCGTCGTGGGCCGCCATTACTGCCTATTTAGTTGTGAAGCACCAAGACGCTGCCAAGACATTGCGTTAGTCTGATGGAAATAGTTACGATAGACGATCATTCATGTTCACTTAGCGGGAAGATTAAAGCTGCGAAGGGCATTGTCACGTTATTCATCTCTAAAGTTTCCCAAACAATAATTCTACTCTTACTTCTGACTCGAAATTTATAATTTAATGTTTTTTTTGAGCAAAAAAAAAAACTGACACTTTAAAATTGTATATTTTGTTAATATTTAGTTCTAATACATTACCAGTTAAACATTAAACTATGAAAATAATTCAATTTACAACAATGGTTTAGTTTAGGTATCGGATCGTATAGTTTTGAAAAATGAACTCGAATTAATACTTTGATGCTCAATGGCAAGTGGCCCTCTGCAGATCACTGCGTTTCACAGCAGGCCTGCTGATCATACGAAAGCACTTCCCAAGATTAATTGCTACTTTACCGATTCACCAGCTAACATATACGTCCGATTTAATTAATATTAACACATAAACAAAGCTCGTATGGTGTCCAACTATTAACTAGGAACAAATGAAGACCGGTGTGATGTCTGAAAGTATATTTTTTATAGTAAATTGCACCTTTCATTTCAAAAAAAAAAATTAATTTAACAAGTAAAGATTTTTAAATTTAAGTGCTATAATAAATAAGCTTCAGAAAATTTAGGGAATTAAAACCAGAAATGCAATTACACATTTTTATGTTCACATTGCGTAAATGTCATCAAAGGAATTTTATGTAAAAAAAATGTAGGATGAAATAAAAGGAAGCTGAAAACATATTTATTTCTAATGCAAGAAAATAAAGAAAAATTGTCATAAAAATGCACTTTATTTAAAATAGCCTTTTGGTGACATTTTTCAGTCATTTTAAATTTTTGTAACCAATTTCAAATCTATTATACAAGGTATCCTAGCTCAATTATCGCTTAGTGTCTCTGATATTGTTGGAGCAACTTTAAATTTTAAAAACATAATCACAAAATCTGTTTTATCACAATTTGCCATACACTAAATTAATTAAAATAAACACCAATCTTTTTAACTACGAAATGCGGTTTTATCTATTCATTATAAAATTAAAAATTGTCAAAATTTTGTTTCTTCTTCAATTATTGCACTCAAATCGTGGTACATGACAATTTTCAAAATACTAGAATTTTCAGAAACTAATTGTGTCATTTTGGATTTTTTTAATGAAACGACTGTCTTCCTCAACTAATAACTCTTGTATCAATTTTTTGCAAAAGAAAACACACTTTTTTTTGTGTACAAATTTTAGAGTTTCTAACTACAGTTATTTTTTCTATGGAAAGGCTTCTAAAAACAGCTAAATGTGTGTTTACGTATGAAATGCACAATCTACTTGCAGGAATGATCTATGTTAATAAAAATGATGTTTTGTTCATTTCTGGCTTTCGTTTATTCAAAAGCCTTAGTAAGGACACTGTCGTGTGCTTGGCGGTAAACTATCAACTTTTGGCAATTCATATAGCAAATTACTCCAGAATACACTTTCAGGTATGCAAAAAATATCCCCATAAAGGGGTGTACGTTTTAAATATTAACGAGCAGCAGCGCATAAAATATTCCGAAGTCGCTGAAGTCATTTGACTGTGGGTCATTTACGTTAAATGTATTATTACTAGGAACTGTCAAATAACATGATGTAACGTAAAGGTTATGCTATGTATTGAAATCTTGACGCATCCGGTAAGTAACACAATCGTCTTCTGAATTTCGATAGGATATTATGTGAGCAACGCCTGTTGTTTGATGACAATGCATTGAATAAAAATTACTGTTTTATTTTCATTGTCCTTTATCAAAAATTTCCATAATCTTAATTGCGTTTTTTCTATTTAGTGATGAACAGAGAGAGCATGAAACAGCTAGAGATCCGGACGACGATGATCCTGGCGACGAACCTTCTACAAGTTCGTGGTTTAAACGCGTGATGCGGGCTTCGGTTCCTTTCCAAGTGGTTATCATTACCCTTTTGTGTGTCGCCTGCCTATTAGAGCCACAATGTTGTGACAACATGAATAATTTTGCAATGTCACTGAGTCCACAATTGCGTTACATCAAGGGACCCCCACCGATTTAAGGTACTTATACAATCTTGAAACGATTCGAAACACTGCCTTCGGTACTTATACAGTTGCACAAGATGGGCTATTTTTAGCGTTTTCATTAAGTTATTAAAACGACGTAGCATATTGTTATTGTGTACATACTGATATTTTATAATAAAACTGAGGAAAGTCCTATTTGCAGTTAGCAAATGATACACGAATATCATATCATTTTGGATAAAATCTTAGCAATTGAGGTGTTTTTTGCCACTACTAATTATTTATTATTATTATTATTATTTCTATAGTAGGGCTGAAACATTTTCTTGTGGAAGTATAGTATTATATACAGAGTGGATGACTGAAATCATCTCCAAGTAGGTGTACTGATTTGGTGCACCTGAGACTATTTTTTGAATATTCCATTTTTATACGGTCACGTGCCTTAAGATGGCGCTTGGCGCCTGCTGATAGAGTTATTTTATGATTAAAATATAATAAAGTTTGCTCATATTATTTAACATCAACGAGCACTTTACGTGGACAATGACACGTAATATTATTTGATTTAAACTATTGCATGTTAGTGTTAATTAGTATGCATGTGTTTACTTGATTTTAGGCAACATCAGTGTTTGTGGTTTTGTTGTATCGTATTTTTTGGTTCAAACATGGATGTTGTTGGTCTAACCATTTCTTTTTTCGATAATGGTTAGATTTATTTTTATTCATTTATAATTAAAGATTTTTGTTAGTAACTATGTTTACGTTACTAACACTTTAATTGTATATGCGAGACGTTCAATGATTTGGTTAAATTTTTTTAGAGTGGTTAGAAAAGTTTAAAGTTTATCATTGGATGTTTCACCTATTTAATAACATAAGTTATTTATGATTATGACAATCTTGGGCATTTGCGTTTTTATAAGGTAATATTTTCAATACTTTTAGTTTTTTACAGTTTCATAGCTTGTATCATTTATCTATAACATATTGAATTTAAACTTAAGTTAATATTAAGTTTATTTCATTTTAAGCTCAGTACATTTATCCGTCACGTAAGTACAGTAATAGAGAAACGATTGTCACGCATTTGCCTATTTTTATATTTTTTATAATAATTTATACTACGCATAATGTCATAACGTTTGTGTTGTAGGTCTTGATTGCTTACACTATTTTACAATTTATGTAAACAAGGCGCATTCAATCAATAAAGGATTTTTCAAATATTTTGTTTTTTACTTTTTCCTTAAACGTCCAATTTATTAAACAACAAACTTGTATAATTAGAGGAAAATAAATTATTCAAAGTTATGGGTAATCCGTCATCAATTTAATTAATATGGGAAAGCTAACGGGATCTATCATTAAAATTATTAACAGCGAGATAAATATACGCTCATTTGATTGCACCTTTTTGTTCGATAACTAATAATTTTAAGATTCTAATGCTAGTGGTTTATTATTCATCAGTAATTATATAGCTTTTCCAAGCATTCTCTCCACATCCGACTTTTATTCGTCTTGGTTTTACTACAGGATTACAAGAATTTTCATCCTAAAATATCAACGTTGCTATTTACCCTCTTTCAGGGTGAAACCTGCAATTTCGGCGGAAAACAAACTACGGTAAGTATAAACAATTCTGAACAAAAAATCGTTGTAATAAAAAATAAAGCCTGTGGTACAAAAATCGCTAGTTTTGAGCTTTTCTACTTCACATCCGTCTTTTATTAGTCTTTTACGACAGTATTTACAAGAATTTTTGTTTAAAATAACAATGTTGATACATATTTACTCAAGCTCAAGGGTGAAATATAAAATTTCAATGGAAGTCGCCTATTTGATCTACGGGAAGTTTCACATATTTTTTTAATGTGAAAAATTGTTTTTTTTTGTTTTTTTTTTAATTATCGTGTAGTTTTAAGATTTGTGGCAAGATAGCTACAATTTGCATGGTAATAAGCGGAAATAAATTAGAATCTCTCTGTTGGAATGTTAAGATTTCCGATTAGACATTAACTCCTTAGGAGAGTTGTGCAGGTAATTTGATTTTCGTTGGGCAGATTACTTGAATAATGGTCGTGAAAAATAGGTAGTATATGGTTTGTGATTATAGTTCGAGAATTGTTGAAGCCGTGGAAATGAATGTCGGCTTGTATGGTATAGTTACGAGTATCCGCTCACACTATAATCAAAAGAAATGTTGAAAGTACCGGTACGAAGATGCCGGGGACAACACCATGAAGACACTCGGTGAGAGCAACGCGATACACGTTCTCAAAAAGGATTAAATCGAAAAATAGCTTTAATCGCAAGCCGAGGTGAAAATAAGTGGCCACTACAATGCAATAACAGCTATTGTTGGAACCTAACAGGATCGGACGCAATCTCAAGAGTATTTACAGAATTTCGAACTTCAGCTCAAAAATAGCTATAACACATTAGCTGCATTTCAATAAGGATAAAAAATTGACGCCGATTTTGAATGTACATGACTTTGGCGCAAAACGAAACGATTTTCAGTTCAACAGCAAAACCTGAAATTTCAATAATGATTAAAAATATTTTTGCACTCCACCGACGGAACCAACGCATTGTTTTAAATCCATCTTGAAGTTTTTCAACTTCTACTTATAGGTAACATATAACAAATCTCAAGGGGGTCGAAACACATCATCTGATAACGTGGTAACTCTACCTACATTGTTATTTTATATGAAAAAAAGTTTTTTCGGTTAATTTATCATTTTTATTTCAATTTCTATATTTTTTTACAATACGACTTTCTATTATCGCCTTTTTATTAACGTACAAAAAATAAATGTTTAATAAACATGAGTTAATTTTTATTACGATCGTGGAAAAAAAGAAAAAAATTGAATAATTTGCACGCAGAAAAACAAAAAGTTTTAGGTGGTTTTAAGAGACCCACGTTGTTTCACATGTTGGTTTTTTAGGTGTGAAATTGAATTTGCAACGATGAAGTAAAAAAATATCAATTTATAAATCAATCCGGCCCTGTATGCTGGGATACATACTACACCTGGCAGGTTTGACGGCCGGACGCTACCTTGTTATTACCGGGCCGATATTACAACACCCACTAGTTTTGCCGCTGCGGTATAGTTCAAGCATGGCAGAGCTTTCGCATTCTAAAATTTGTCGTGTAATTTTTGTTTTTATACTTCTTATTAAGTAACAATATTTTATCCTTGAGATCTGCACGCCTACGACTACAATAATTTGCTACTACCAAAACACCCTAAGGACCTGAATAAATCATTGCTTCATCATCTTGTTATTTTGACATAATTCTTCAGGTTTCCGTAGTTTACGAGGCGGTAATGACCGAAATGGAAGTTATTACAGGGGCTATAGCTACAGGGTGAATCAGATCATGAGAAATTTTTGAGTTTAGCACCATTTAGTTAGTATTCATGGCAATCCAAACAGCGAGTAATAAATTTTGTCCACCTTTCTACAAGAAGAAATTTACGAGTATCGCAGTTTTGTAGGAAGTGGAACATGGTATCAACTATGCAGGTCTTCCACTTTTCTAGGAGTCTGGTCGATTTGGGCAGTAGTTGCGATATTTGATGGCAATACATGAGCAACAGGTGACATGTGATGGCGAAAAGTTGTAGCGATAACAGACGAGTCGTTGAGGGAGTGCTGGTCGAATACTTGTTAACATGCGCCATCCGTAGTCTCTAGAAACGCGTATATGCAGCGAGGGTAGCGGGAAAAGACGCACAATGAACGTTTGGGACGGGACCCACGGGACCCGCATGCTAAATACTTTAATACGTGATGCGTACAGGGTACAGATCGTACGTCAGTACTCTGTGTCACTGCACCGGATGTTTTATCCAGGTAGTTACCAAACTAAATAAAACACCATTTTAGAGACATTCAACCACTCAAATTTAATTTCACTCAAAAACATGCAAAACTTCCACTTTCGTGGTTTCCTCAAGGGGACGATTTTCATATTTTATTAACTTTTCTTCTCTGAATGGTGGTTTCACGACAGATTCTTCCATAGTGAATTACAAACTTAGTGCATCAGAGGCAATATTTTACCAAGTTAATTTGACGCTTCACTGGAATCTATCTCGCCACTGTTTTTTATTTAGCTACTCCTGATTTTTTGCTCCGCGGAAAACGACTTCAGGTGTAAATCCATTTAGGATAATCATAATTTATTATTACCGCTAGCATTCTCAAGATATTACAATCGCACCTCCCCAAATTTTAAGTGAAGACAATTTAATCAGTGTATGCAGTTTCTTAATTTCTAAACTGCAGCAAAAATTATACATACAAGGTTGGACAAAAACTATGGAACCAAGCGTTTTATGCCTAAACTCTTTGCTTTTTGAGAAAATTAATTGATGGTTGATCGTTTTTAAGAATATTTTTTTTTAAAGTGAAACTTTTTATACATCGCTACAAAATTTTTCGTTCGCCTTAGCATGTCGCATTACAGCCGCGGAGTAGGGGTAATGTGAAGGGCGCTCGGCAGAGCCAATATGGCGGCGCCATATATAATAATAAAAATTAAATTAAAAAAATAAAATAATTAAAGTTTCACTTGCATCGTAGTTTCCTAAAACCACACGTTTTTTTTTTAATTCTGCTAAATTTATTTTATTCAAAAATTTTTGACAAAGCTTATGATCTAAGGATTACAGTTTATAGTTATATATTAATTATAATTAATTGAATTCAGTTTTTGTCTTATAACAATTTTTATACACTCAGAATCCATTTATCTGAAAAAAGATGGAAAAAAGAGAAGCTGTTTAACTTAACTCTTTTTCTTCTTCAACCGTAATTCAAAGCGTAAATATTTTTAAATTTGCAAAATTTTAAACTGTAAAAATTCGATGAGAATAATGGACAGTAGAATTTCAGAAAATAACAACAAGAACTGTTGATAGTTTTGTTTTTCGTTTATTACTAACAAAGATATTAATCTATAAAACTTTAGTTGTACTCGTAAGGCCTCCTCTGCGGTAATTATTAAAATACTTACTTTAGCCTTAATTCGAAGTTCAATATTTTTTGATAATTACGTAGACATAAAGAATAACGCACATAAGTTTCCAAATTATTATTAGTCATTAGTCATAAAAGTGGAGAAAAAATATTCAGATGTCGTCATGGCATCAGTGGACTTTGTCTTAGTTTGGCAAAAGCATTGTATCATTTGACTGGTGAAGAACCATTTACGGAGAGGTTTATTTCTTCCTTCCTCGTTACATAAAATCTTCCCTCCTGGAAATCAGATAAAATCCACACTTTCTGATGAACAATTCACAATGACGTAACGTGTGGTTTTGGTCCAAAAATCGTAAATTTATGCGGTGAAGCATAGGAATTTTGTTTTTGATTAAGTTATTGGTTAACCACAAACAATTATATAAAATGTCCTATCTACAATCTACATTTAGTGATTAGTTGTCACGCTAGCATCAGTCATGGAAAAGCGGTCCCATCACGGTAGTGTTCGATTTGATACAAATGGAACACCGTAATTGCAAGTATATGTGTACCAGCACTCAGGAAAAGCATTCCTGCAACGCTTGATCGCATTCACTATGATTACTATCATACCCTACCAAATGCAGCCTCACTTGTTTTTATCAAAGATGAGACATCAAATCATTTTTAATGGACACACTTAAGAAACTAGAAAAATGTATCCATAAAGTGATTAGTGCACACAATTGAAGATTTCATTTAATTTTATGAATGAAGTTAGTATTTTGTCATGCTGGGAGCTGTGCTTTGGAGTGTGTGAGAATATAGTTACATAAACCTGATATACGACAAATTATAGTTGTGGTCGAGAATGGGACATTTTTATCATGTCATCTCCGACTTACGACAACTAACAAGCCCAGAGATTCCATGGCTACTGCTTGGCTCATGTTGTCATGTATACTCCATAAGAAACGTTTTTGAGCAAACTACTTACGATTCAACAATTGTTGTAAAAGGAAAGGAATTATTAAAAAATTAAAATGATGATCGGTGATGCAGATGTGGGTAAAAGCTAGTGGAAGATTGGACAAATAGCTTGGAAACAGGAAACAACAACTGCTATCTTGATGACTGCAACCTGCGACCATAAACCACGTCTACGTGTAGACCCATGCGGAGGGGAAGGAACCAGACTTAGGTACCGGCAACTTCTTTTGAGTTATTTATACGATACTCC